TTACTTATGTTGCTGACATCACCCACTTACCATCTTAAGATCTCTCTGGGCAGCTTCCATTTCCTCACGGGGATTGCCACGAGGGCGCTGTTTCCTCTCCTGTACCTTAAGATTGTGTTGTTTGATTCTATCCATCAATTGCCGATCTCTCTCTGCCCTGTAACGGCATTTATTAGGCTATCTTCAAATACATGTACATGCACAAGAACAAAGTAGAGAAAATTCCTGGATTTCTTCAAATGCACATTATATGCTTTTTGCGGATCAGATTTTGCACTTGGGGTGTTTTCAAGTATTTCTGTTTCATGCTAATGCAGACTGTGGTCAATTATCTAATGTGTTTTCTATGTTCTTGTTGATATCTCTCACGAGAAACAATCAGCAGCTTTTCTGAACACAATGTTACAACAACAAACATTTTAGGATCACAGTTTGTACTGAATTTCTTCAATTGAACAGTGGACAGTTGTGAACTCACTTCAACGCAACAAAGAGCCTAGATGCCAATTATTCAGAAATGGAGCAATGGTTTTAAAAGACTGAAAACTTTCCCTCTTAAAAACTTGAAACAAAAATGGTTGCCTAATAGCTGCACTAAATGTTCAAATGAGCAAATCATTTCATGGCTCCTTCAAATGGAATGTCATGATGTTTGGTTTTAGTAGAACTTCGTAAAAATACTGACATCAAAGAAATGTCATTATTGCTTGCTAGCAAGTCAACCTCTGGCAATATTCTAGCAAGTCAACCTTGGGCACTATTTTAGTTTTTCTGTTGTCTAGTCAGAGTTAGTTCATTCTTGCCGGTCAGGCAGGCTTACCTGGCCTTTTCCAATTTCTGTGCAGCTTCAGGGTCAGTTCTCTGCTTTATTGCCTCATGTTTATTCTTGACTTCTTGCTGTAAGTTAATTTGTAAAAAATGATTGGCACAAAGCATAAATAAAATGTTAGATGTATGGGGTCTTCTAAAGTCTAAGAAGATTTCTACATAAGGATTCCCTGGAGTAATATTAATAGATACTAGAGCCCCCATACAAAGGGACACACCATTTGCATCCAATGGTTTGTATGCTTTAAGCATATAAACTAATAGTGCATGTTCAACTATGTATGCAAACATAGGATCATGAAGTGGGCAGACAAAGCCAGCACCACTGGCAAGCTGTCATGTCTCCCAGGGTATCACTTCTGCAATAGGCTCACAGGTGATACTACAAGCATGGAGGCCAACAGAAGATACTGAACGGAAGCAAGCCATTGGCACAAGCTCTTTAGTACGCACATATCCCTCCCTCAAGTAACATAAAAAAAAAGCTGCAGGTGGGCAGATACTGCCAAATACCACGGCAATGTGGAAAGGCAATGAGCACTTATCTTGGCCAACTACCATATATAAAACATCAAACACACTTAGGAAATGTGGTTGACACAACAGACAGATGGTTCCTTGCCTGGAACTGTACCATCAACTTACAGGTCCAAGAAATGTGAAGATTTTACAGAGGTACTTTTACTGCTGGGTACATTGGACTGGTTTACAGACAAGTGTTGACAATGGCCAATAACATGCATAAAAGAATGCAAGGTCCAGGCATTACAGTTATGGGTTCTGTCTAACCATTTTGTGAAAATACACATTTGTAAATAATTTTGTCCTTGCTGGAATTTGATATATGTACATGTACCTTGATCCTTTCTTCTTTAGATAAGATCTTCATGTAGTTAGGATCTGTGTCATACGGCGTCTTCAGTGGGTCAGTGAAATCTGAAAATGAACCCCAAAATAATTAGCAATTAAAGTCCTTTATTCTCAACTTCACTTCAAATTCTGCAAGTCACACTCAACTAAGATTACCATTACTACTACATGAAAAGGGAGCTTCTTTCTGCAATGTTTTGGTTTATTATCCTCAAACATGACTCAGTTTCCCCATCTTGTTTGATTGGACAGAAATATTCGTTGTTACAGGATGTTATTGCATGTATGTACCGGTATATATTAACATCTTTCATAAGTGTAACTCATCCAGCAGCAGCTAATCATTTGGGACCCTCACAATGAAGATAACTATGAAGAAATGCAGTCTTAAAGGTAGGAGGAAAACCCTGGATAAATTCATCAGAGGAAACCCACAGAATCAGGTAAGGACTGAAAACCAAATCCACATGCAGACCTCGGTGGGAATTGAAACTGGGCCACAGAGGTAGAAAGCAAGGAAAGAGCCACTATGCCATCCCAACTCTCCATTTGGAATCAAATGGCTATTACAACATCTCCACACAACCTGCTATTTCAATGATGGAGCATGGACTGTTTGATATCAAACCAAATACAACAGACAATCAACATTCATCATACCACAATAAAACAACAATCATTAAGAACATGCAAACATTCATGAATTCAGAACAGTAGTTTTCTCAATCACCAATAGCAAACACACTCTTGCTGAAATTTGAAGTCCATGCAACATGTGGAAGTCCATGTGACCAGTGCTGAAGGTGACAACACGTCAATATACACAAAAGATGACAAATGAATCACTATGTGTGCAACAGAACCAGGACATGAATGGACGACTCACCACCGAAGATCAACAAGTTAAATACCTTTGAAATGATTCAAAATTTCAACTATACATCATTTAAAAAAAGCACATTAGGATTTCTTTTGTCAACTGTCATGCTTTCTACCATGTCAAATTATAGAAAAACAAACAAACATTTGACACCAAGCTTTTATTCCAAATTGACTCTCGTCTAGTGTGGCAGATTCTATTGTGCTACGTCAGCTGCCCTGTATGTGTCACATATCCTGCTCTTGCCACACAGAATCAAATCAAATCCCTACTTTGGGTTGAGCAACTTTGGAATGTATACTCTTGGTTCCAATCCTGCTTTGCACAATGCTTCCGCACAGAAAATGTGAAATGCTATGGCTAATACCACATACCACACTCTGTCTGTTAAGTGACCAGTGCACATGTAATTCATATTGCACACAAGGGTTTTGATATGGTTGCCGCCCCCAATAACATGCTGCGTTACATTTCTCAGAAATCTCTTGAAAATGTTGACTTTTTTGCAAAGTTTTCAATTCTAATGCACACAAGTGCAGGACAAGACTCTCCATCTTGCCAAACTTGATTAAATTTTAATACAGATTAAAAATGCACGGAAATGCACCCTATTGTCTTAATTACATGTAGATCTATCATGGCTGCATGCCAGAGATTTTTGACTCTCAGTTGGTGAAACATGCATTCTCCAAATGCTTTCTAATTCATGCGATCAATATTTTCCCACTTTTTCTCACTGAAAGATATTGCTCATATCTCTCTGAACAACCAATATTTCTAATATTTCCATGGCCTTCTTCAGGATCATTTTAGGCAATTTTTGCAACAAAACATATCTAAAATCTCACCCACTATTCTGACTCCAGAAATCCCCAAATATTTACTTTTTCTCTTACAAAATTATGGATAATTTGTCCTTGATCAAAAGATCTTTTTTCAACAAAACAGCCCCCTCTATAATTGAAAAGTATACAGTTAGGATAGATAAACGTGCATCACAAAAACAGCGTGGACTGTCAATTTCAAGATATATACAGTCAAAATGAATGTGACCAAAAACGTGCTGCGAAGGTACAAGCAGGTGGGTAGGCAAATGAGGGTCAGTTGCCCCATACCTCCCACTTTTTCAACCGGGTGGCATGCCCCCCTCCCACTTCTCACAGGTCCTATAATGGGGTGAGCCATAATGGATCGATCTAATGGCAGATGCCTGATGGTTTCAAACCTGGCCCCCTCCCCCACATTGTCACCGTTGGGTACATGTTCACCATATTTGTCTCACATTTCGCCAAATTATCAAATCCAGTTGCAATGGAAAACAAATTTCCACACACTTATTTTGTTCTTTTAACTACTCAAGAATTGCTTCAAGAGAAAATTACCAATTTGAGAACTTTAACAAGTACTTTTTAACAAGGACATTTTACATGTTGATTGATGTAAATTTTCAAATGGTCATTTCACTACCTATTCAAAATGGCCATCTTGTGTACTAAAGTCTATTTAAAGAGACTGAACTACTGTCGGTAGTACCAAAAGACGTCTGTACACATTGTAAAAATTGACCAAGTCAAGTCATGAGAACATATTGTGAACAAATCAACAAACACATCATGCATTAGCATAAACAGGTATTTACCCTTGTACTTCCATGGCATGCCTGTTAAGGTAGAAATCAAAATAAGGTAGAAAAAGTGAATAAACACAAACTCATATTTCATCATGTTTACTGAGGATTGATCTGACGTATTGTGAGACTTCACCATTGTAAACATATAAATTATGGCAGTTTTGCCCTTTTCACACATCCATAAAGCCTTCCATGCTCATGAACCCTCAACTATTCTGGAGTCCACATTCAAGGTTTACCACAGCTGTACTAAGCCCTCCGAGTTCACTTTATGGATTGGTAAAAGTGTCAGGAATAATAACCTCAAGCGATACATATTTGCCCTCATTTCCTGTGTAGAAGTCGATTGCTAACCCATTGTGGATTCTGCTCAGAACATTCCAAGCACAATTTACAAGAAATATTTGATCAGAATGTTATGAACATACATGTCAATGGACAGCAAGTGTGTTATAAAGACAGTATAAAAAGAAATCTCAACAGAGAACTATTCACAGCCTTATGAGTGGTGCTAACTAGAACCACAGAGGATGGACAAACAAGGAGTTGCAACTCAGGCACTTCAAAGTGTTCAATGATGGTCGCCGCCAAGTCAGACGAATAATAGAAAACATTCCAAAGATGCCTGATTACTGCATGCATCTTAGCCGGACAAGCGGGGCCATTAATATCCTAGCAATACTTATAGTTTTTGCTTGCAATTAAATACAAATTCTTGCTGTGACCAGGAAATAGTGGGAGGAAATTCCTGATATGAGACCTACTTTTGCCATCATAAATGAACTTTTAAAATTTTGATACACTTTTCCATTATCTATGCAAAGTTTTTAATTTTATTCTCCTCCCTCCAATACATCAGTGTTCAAAGACTTGGTACAAACTTGGCTAAGACTGGCCAACAATATTTTGACTTTTACTGGAAAGCTAAGTTCATAAGTAACAAAATGTAGTATTTCATCACAGGGAGTGACCATGAAATCTCATAAAATACGCTTTGTACACATGCAATATTAGAAACAATTCAAACAAAACACAAAATCTTGTTAACAATTGGGCTATTTTATCCCAAAATAACTCTAGAAGACAGAGCTCATTAAGGGCAATGACTGCACATATAGATTTAGAGCACACAGCATAATGCAAGCAACTATTAAAGCATTAAATTTGATGTTGTCATGAGATCACGCCAAGCACCAACAAAGGCATGAATATTCAATTTCCTATACCTCAGTACACGAAGTTTTAAGGATGTAGATTACCAGTGACAAAGTGCGGTGGTGAACATAGGGTACAAAGCGGTTTTGTGGTTGTGAAACAGATGGTACGTAGGAAGCGTTCGCTGCGCTCTGGCTATGGATATACAAGGCATGCCAGAAAGCGGTAACTGGCCAGATCTTACAGCCCAGACAGTTCAAACTCCTTCTGCGTCCTTCCTCTATGCTAGGACCATGACTTTCCCCCAGTAAGTCTAAGTCCACATATTAGTCTCCTAGTGTGAGTTTCCTATCTACTCCTATTTTCCGGTGTTCTCATTCCATGCTGATGTACATGTACTATCAGTATTCTCTTTCATCATAATCCTTCTAAGCTTACTGTGTCTCACCTTGCTGAGCATTTTTAATGGCTCGTATGTAGTGTTTCCGCTGCATTTCTCTGGTTTCACTACGCCAATCTTCCAGTAACTGCTGATCCCTGTAGTAGCAAAAATCAATATAAACAGGCATTTGCTAAAACCAACAACATGACAGACATTGTGTTTGACCAAAGACAAATACAGCTGCTCTGGGGACCTCTTTGGTTAGAAAACAAATGAGGCTGGAATGCACAGGAAACAAACCCAGGTCTCTATAAAAGTCCACAATATTGAACCACCAGACAGTGTGCACAGCAGATATACATTGATGCTATCCTTTACCGCAATAAGCAGGTTGCACGACCTCCCAACTGATTTCATATGGATTTTCAAAAATTTGACTTATTGAACTTTAAATTCTGTAATTTGACACCTGATGATGTCATCATAATGTCATGCCTCCATTTACATCCTCTGATGATCTACAAGTAGGTATCTCCCAAGTTTGAAGGGAATTGGGATTGTTTAAAGGCCCAAAGTAGTGAAGAGTTAAAACCCCTTTCATCCTGTGGGATTTGGAATGGAAGAAAAAATGTAAGGAAGATGAGCTGTTTTGGCTAGTGCTCAAAACAGCTGATTATAGATGGCAAATATCTAAGCATGATTCAATGGTTTCAAACCAAAGTAGTAATTATACTCCTCATCAACTACAACTAAGTTTTTTAGGCTTGTCTAAGCCAAATGACTGAGGCCATAAGCATAAGATTACACTTGATTTCGACCTTACAGGGACAACCACTGCGGTTTGAATATCTTCTCATACACTTTAAAGATTTCTTAGAATTCCTGGAAGCTGCAATACATACAACTGCATGGGGCTGATTTCAAAAACCCTCACATTTAACCAACTTTATCATTAAAAATGAGCGACCAGACAGACAAAATGCATTCTACTCTCTCACTCATCAAAAAGGAACCATAAGATTTGCTTTATACTCGCTATCTGCGGAATAGTAACAGTTCAGGACTAGTGTTATGGGGAATGCTTAATTAATGAATAATGTGTTACGAGTCTGGTTAAGTGTGATAATAATTCCAAATGTCCCCATTAGCCTGTACAGTTACACGTTGGTCCAACTCATGTCAACTTGTTTTCTTACTTTCTACGTTGCTCAATAAGTGCTTGTTTTTGTTGAAGTTCTCGAAGTTTAGCTAGTTGTTTCTCTTCAGCCATACGAGACTCTAACGGATCAATCCATGGCGGAGTCTTCATCCTCTGCCCCTTCTTCTTCTTCTTACGTCTGGGGAAAGAAAAGACAAAGCAAGTTCAATCATAAAACTTTAAGGATGGCACTCTTTTCTTGGTCTTTCTGAAAACATCCAAAATTGATCACAAGCTGCTGCACTGTATCTTGCACCTACTGCTAGGCAAAGATACAGGTCCATTCATTAAATGCCTTCATTCACATCTTGTGTCAGTTTGAGTTTCAAATAAACACAATTTTAATAATGGTAATAAAAAACTGCCACACAAGGTCCTTGATAGGACAAACAAAGGTGTACATGTATCTTGGAAAAAATGTATTGGTCATCATACACTAATGAAATACATTTACATCTAATTGAGTAGCTGTGAGTCTACTGAGTGCTCAACAACCTGCAAATTGACCACGTATTAACATTTGATAATGCCCTCTGAGAAGCGATAATGCCCATTGCATAATACACGCGCTGGCACCTGGATACAAGACAGTTTAATCAATTCTGGTTGGTCAAGAGTCTGTGTGCACGCCAATTGGACAATCTGCACAAGGAATATTCCAAAACTGGACGGGGTGTTTGAGAAACTGAAAGTTGTATGCATTGTGCACATTGGTACTTACTGTCTTTGTAATGATTGCAATTTTTTGTTGAAGGGTATACATGTGTATGCGCTGGGCTGGTCTTCAATGTTCTTTTAAGACCAGATCAGGAGAATGGATGCTGATAAGGTGAGGCACATTATCAGCATCCCTTCTCCTTAAAAGAATGTTCCAGCCAAGCACATATTTATTCAAGTTCCCATTCATAAATACCGTTTGCATCAGGAAGTCAAAACAAATCTTAACAAATTTCCAATGATTTGGTCCAAGAGTTTTACTTCACTGTTTCCAAACACATCTAACTGTATGTTATGGTATGTACCTCTCTGAAGTAGTCATAAATCAATCTAATTATATGGAGACTGCTGCTCACATTGTGCATACTTTGTGAGGTGGCACAAAACATGATGAGCAGTGAAGTGTGAATTTGGCACTTTCAAAATGCGGACTCACTGATAGAATTAGTAAGTGAAGATTGTGAATGTTCAACCAATACAACAAGGAAAAGGGGACCAGATTTCATGAGAATCTGAATTTCATGTGACACTGGAAATGTTAAGATCAGTCAGCCGCTGCTTCATCAACCATTCATAAATACCGCAGACAGTCTCCCTATTTAACAACGTGCAACTCGACCATGTATTAACATTTGATAATGTCCGCAGAGAAGAAATAATGCCCATTGCATAATACACGCGCTGGCACCTGGATACAAGACAGTTTAATCAATTCTGGTTGGTCAAGAGTCTGTGTGTATGTGGTTCGCCACGCACGCCAATTGGACAATCTGCACAAGGAATATTTCAAAAATGGACAGGGATGTTCGGGAAACTGAAAGTGAAATTCTACCACAAAACTGCTGGAAATCCATCATATTGACCTCTTTTGACTCTCTGACTAAAAAGGTATTTATGAATGGCAATAAAAATGTGCTTGGCCAGAAAGCGACTGGATGCGACTAATCCCTCACCTGCGGCTCGGGCATTAGCCGCGTTCAGTCTCCTGATGAGCCAGTCTTAAATCAGATTTGAAATCAAGTCGGTAATTGGCCAGGTGTAGTCCACCTTCCTCGCGATGCATACGTGGTGCAATTCAACATGCAGGTTAATAACACGCGGGAACAGTCAGTGCAACCTTGTTCCCCAATACGCATGTTTGGGGCTGCCTAATTACTGACTTGACCAATCTGCAAACCCTTTTGTTCACAAAATATGGGGCTTGCTACAAAAATTGGACGGACCACTATGATAGGCTAAGAGTCCCAATTATATGAATATTCATTTTAGGGACGGATTGGTCAGTTGAACATTTATTAGCAACAAGTCTCGTTAATTAAGAAGGGTTTTTACATTATTCTAAAAAGATGATTTACAATAAACGCATCAATTTTTTACCAAAAAGATAGTTGATAGATTTGTTCTTTAATATACTTTGTTTTTCAACGTCATATTAAAAGGGATATGAATGCAACACATGAAGAAACCAGCACTAATAAAATAGACTTCCCTATATATATAAAATGGATGAGTCTGTTATTTAGCATGGCACTCTCCATGGAAATGTATGAATATGCATTGCAGTTGTTGCATGCATGAATATCCATCCAGAGTCGGGTTGATCAAGTTGTTAGGTGGGCACCGAAACCCAGTACTGAAGAGCCCACGACCATGCGTCGTATCGGGGCCGAATTAGTGTAACATCCTGAATCAAAGGCGACGGTGAACAGGCTAAGCACTAATTAACAATGCAGCATGCTGGCTCATATTGCTCTGGACAACAAACACGACAGACTAGATACAGATTTGATTTCAAGTCTAGTTTTAAATGCACATTTAAGACCTGCCAAGCACATATTTATTTCCTCATTTAAGTACGGTCATGTGACAGCCTGTCAACCAATATGAAGGTGTAAACTTTCTTGGGTATTTATGAATAATTCTTCATCACTTCAGAAATGTGCATTCTGCTTGACAAATTTGTGAGCCTGTACATGTATAATAAACAGAATCACTGTGTGCAACCAGTATGGCAGAGTGCTTGCATATAGGAATCGCACAAAGGAACAAAAGGTCTTTTCATTACCAGCTATGTTCGCTCTTTTGGCAGAGTCTTTTCTGAAAGTACCACAATGACTTTTCAGTCCTATGGGTCAAATTTATATGTACATGTAATTTAACATGTACATGTATCTCAAGTAACAGACAGCTGAATTCCTAGATGCAGTACAACACAGTATAGTGCACAGAGTGCAGTGATGGTGCGTTTCATTGGGTGCAACATTTGTAAAATACATGTACGTAATTGAATCAGGTGCTGTGTATCATGAATACATCATGAACACTGATATACGCAAAGACATACATGTACATGTACGTTGTTAGATCCATCAGACAGCAGATCACTAAAATCCAGTACATGTACCTGTGCTTGTACATACATTCTGTACTCATGGTGAAGATTTTTAACCACAGTACTGGCACATTAACCACAAAGAAAAATTATTAGATAAAACTTCTCTATAAAGAATATGGTCTTGTGTGCATGTAAGAAGACAGGTTATCTTGGTCAACTGTTTTGAATAAGTATGAATTATAGGGTATCGAAGCGTGACATCATTTGAATCAGGAAGTGCACTATGCACAAGAATGGAATAGGTTTGTATTGGTTCACACACTGATCTTGCTTTGATGCCTTTTCCCAAACATAAGTGTTCGCTATGACCTATTCACTTCGACACTCTATTCTCAGATAGTGCAGACAATTTCCCCCCAAACCAATTCCAAACAGCTCAAAGGTGTGATTAGAACAAGTATGGTATTTCAATAAACCTGAATGACAATCTGTAAAACTGTGGCAGCTCCAAATAATTGCTTTAACCGACTTACTGAATGCATCAAAACTGAAATACATGTGAACCTGTTTCAAAAACTAGACTTAAGTCTCCTTTTATAGAACATTTCAGTGCATATGATTGTTTTCAAAATCTGTTTCAGCCTGAGAAAAAACAGATTTTAAAATTTGCCTGTTTCAAATTATAATTTGATAAGATATCACAAAGTGAGCCAAGAAAAGCATGACAGCTCTGACTTCAGTTTACAAGACCCTGAAGGTAAAATACAGTTGAACACTGCCTCAAACAAGGTTGTTGGAACCTTACATGTTGCTTTGGTTCAAGAAAGATCTGTCATTATCAGTATTGGAAAACAAACAGAGACTTGAGGATGGACCTCAAACTTGTCTTGTTAAAGACAGGATGCTATATCCACACTGTTTTTATTATCCATGCTTGTATTCTGATCTTTTCGGTGTAATTCTGATTATCGTGGTAAAGTTTTGACTCTAAAACTAACTACTATGACTTAAAAAAAGTGCCACTGAATAATAATTGTGTCCTGTAGATGTGTACATAAGGTCACTGTAACTTAAGCAAGTAAACAAATGTGTGATGTGTAGTGGGTACAGCTAGTAAAATAAAACCGACCCCAAAACGGTTTCAAACCTACTAGTTCAAAACCAAGTCATCACACCTTTTTTCATTCACAAATATCTTTTCAAGTCAAATTAATTTTACCGCAAGGACTAAAATCTCCTTATAATTTGCAGGCAAAAAAAGCCGCATGTGGCATGTGTTGCATGATGTGATACAGTATGCAGCCAGGCAAGCGTAACACATTATTTTTTTTCTAACTTTATAGACTCACCAAATGCATGCCTACAAGACAATGAAGATAGTCACGGACGTGTATGAGGCTTTCAATCCATTCCAAATTTTTCAATGAAACTGGAAAAGTGTTTTCCAAGTTGGCATTTGTACCATCTGTCAACACCCACCCACATGATGGGCTCTTGACCAAAAGCAATGGGTAAAACTGCCCGAGGTATATTTATAAATTACTTAAACTAGTCTCTGTGTTCCCTGTTCTGTGTACATGTACACTGTATATATGTCTTCACTTTATACCACATCTATGATATGGAATTATGCATTTCCTTAATTAGATGTGCAACTTTCATGAATATGTGGTTTATCCAACAAAAACTCAACAGAATTTTTCCATCCATGCATAAAACCTACAAAGAGTCTCATTTGTCTCAAGCAAAAATTTTGGCAATGTCTGTTCACAGAAGATGTAAAATAGGACTGTGAACCAATATCCATCATTATGCAGTTCAGAAGTCTGAATACTCATATAAATGTACCGGTACTACTTGATATATAATAATACGCCAGTAGTTCTACATAAATAGTATTTATTTTTATGTATGTATACATTTTTCTACTTCATATTAAATATTTAACCCATATTATAACCTCAAACCTCTGAATTAATACACCTTTTTTCTTTGGTTTTTCTTTTTCCTCAATTCCATCATTTTGCTTTTCATAGATTGTTAACCTGTCCCTGCGTAGTAATTTTTTTATCATTTTATACCCTTTAATAATGTGTATCACGTTTTGTTATTGGGCAAGTATAATTTTTTTCTATCTTTGGGGGCTTTTTTGTATTATTAAATGTATTCTTATGTATTTTACAATATACTTCATTTATCTGTGAAATTGACTGTAACTCCTGACTGTAATAACAATAAACCCAGGTAAGAAAAGTCTTCACCATTTTGAAGATGAGGGATGAATGAACTCTGACTTTTCATGCCACTTCCACAGTGTAACTGGGATGTTTATGTAATTATGAACTGTGGAGGTTCTTGTTTTTTACCTGAGCCTGGCACTCTGCTTTCAACCAAGCTTCTTTAGGATATATCTGCACATTGGAAACTATTCTTTACAAATGCAAACTTTACATAATTTTTATTCTTAGCCGGCAGTCAGCTCAGCTGGGCAATTGATTTGTGTAGTTCTGAATTAATTTAGGTCTTTGGTATATAAATAATACCTTCCAGGACATTTCTGAGCCAACGATGATTATTGTCTTGTGTTCTATGTCAACATTTGACATAAAAATCACAGCTGATGATAGGAAGTAATTGTGAAGTCCCCTACTTGTACTCTACATGTACCTGCAACCATATACATGTATTAATGATAAAATGAAATGTGCAATCACACTGAGTGAACGTTGCAGCTCACTACACATTGCTGAGTGTAATATGCATAATGTAAAGTCAAGAATTTTCTGCTTTCTGAAAGTCAAATTCTGCTTTCTTCCACTTTCTAAATTTTGTGTACAAAAACTGTGTGTGACTGTATATATCGGTATGTACTGTAGGCCTACATTTACCGTACATCTACAGGTATCTTTGGCATAATGATACATGTAGGGCCTACACACACCATGTCACTGTGATCATGGACTTGTCACCGTCCCTTTTGATTTATTCATAAGCCGTGAGATGTCTGGGCACTATGTAGGAACGGGGACCTGTGTGATCTCCACGGTGCGGAGACAGAGGAAATCAATACCGAATTATGTAATTTTGCAAAGGAAAAACAGGAGGGGAAACGCTACCAAATGTTACTTTCAAAGTGAGTTAAACAGTGAAAATGAGTTGACATTCCTAATTTGGGTTCAAATTTATTTGATTAATTGTGCAGAAACGATCAAAAATATTTATTTGTTTAATTTATTTATTTTTTTATCGACAATTGCGTTTTCCGCTTTCTACTCCCAAATCCGCGATTTTTGCGGATTTTCTGCAAAGTGGAAAATTCTTGACTTTGGCATAATATGCAGGCTGTAATATGGCTCTGATGAGGACCCTTGCTTATTGCATCCTGCAGGACAGTGCAGCAAGTGCGATGACGCTACATTTAACCGTGCAGAATCTTGGCAATATATAGACCATGCATTGTATTGATACTTACCGGTATATCTTCCTACCAGCTACCTGTCTGCCTGTGATGCCTACATGTACGTCAGACAACATCAATGATGCATCTTTCTCACTGATGTCGTATGCATAAGGTGGTCAAGTGCACACATCAATTCAATCTTCCATGGTTGACCATTACAATTCTTTAGCATGATAAATTGTGACTATTAGGACTTTTAGTAGACTAAAATGGTAGCATAACCTGTGCATGGTCCTCTGGCTGTGTGAGAATGTACTTACAGCACGTATAAAAAGGGAATCCAACAAAATGTTATACAAAAGTTAAACCCTTGAACACTGACAGTGATGAGAGAAAAATCATCATTAATGAAGTTGCAAACATCTTTTTTATGTTTTTGCATGTATATTTGTGTACTGCTGTATACAGCAAAATATCTGGTTTCAAGGCGGGGCAGCCAAACTACATGTAATTAATAGTGAATTTATGTACATGTGTACATGCATTTTCCAGTCGTATGTAATGTGAAAACCCATTCGTTGTAAGGTGTCTAAAATAGAATCACAGCAACAGAATCCTCAGAGACTGACACAGAAAGGTTACACCTAAAATGTATAGGCTACGGCTGTGCATCAATGGAATTCACTGGCTAGCAGCTGCCCCTGAATGTTTTGGCTAGGGCTGGGAATAACATGTGCATAAATGGAATTCACTAGCTAGCGGCTGCCCCTGAATGGTTTGGCTATGGCTGAGAATAACATGTGCATCAATGGAATTCACTGGCTAGCAGCTGTACATTGTGTCCCCAAGCAAAGTTTTTTGACCTTGTCCTAAGTACAAGAAGTCATCAGTACATGTAAATTAAACAGGTGTCCCATTACTTTTGATTTTGTTGTGGTGTACACTTCATAGTACCATCAAAGAAGATAGTATTATGTTCACTTTACCACAATCATCATATATTAAGGTGGGCGATGTAGACTATAATGGGTAATATTTACTCCAAATATCAAAATTGTGATCGAACGCTTTACAAATAAATGTCGTTTGTAAGTTGAACTTACTTTTCTCTCCCAAGCACACCCAGTGCCCCAGCTCTTTTAAACTTTTCATACTGAAGTTGCCTGTATTCCTCATATGTCATATGACGATGCAGTGACACTGATGTTGGTCTCGGGAATTCTAAATCCTCGTTGCTCTCCACTGATTGTATGGACTGATGACTGGCTGATTTCAACTTTCTACTCTGCCTGCTAACTGCATCTTCACTACTTAGGTTGCCATGGTAATCATCATCACCCTCAGATGAGTTCCTTACTGAATCACTCAGATGTAGATCCTCAAGCTGTATATCTAAAAATTAATATGTATACAATGTTCAAAGAGGATCAGGAAAGGCAGTTCATACCTCTCATACTTCTCGCTTGGAACCCCATACCTAGAGTAACTTTTAGCTTTTGAATCAGAAAAGAGAAACCCGTCTTCAAGGGATAGGCTACTTTCTTCAAATGGTCACAAAGGTCATTTCTTTGGACATATTTCATGGATGCTTGTCAGACATGGTAATCTTGAGGTATAAATTACAAACATTTATATGAATGTAGCTCAAATTGTGAAATCCAATGCAGCAATTGACATTTTTAATCAGAATCTGATGCATTCGTTTTTTGAACACTCTCCCTTCGTGGTGCATCGGGACATCCATTAGATCCTGTGTAGGAATTAGCACAAGTCTCCCATTACCCTCTGCCACCCAAACTATAACCATTTGAGGTTTCTGCTAATTATGTAAGGAAATGCAAAAGCTAGCCTTGTATTTGTTCTATGTCTACAGGAAGAGTTACACCTATAAGGTAATGTGATAAATATACATTATGATTGTATTACCAGCAGCTATGAGGCGCGGGTCTCTGATACCATGGGCATCTCTCAGATAATGCTGTATCTCCTTCACTCCTCTCTCTAGAACTTTGGGTGGAGGAAATTCAAGGGGATTTCTCTGAAGGTTCAATCCAGTAAGCGTCTTCACAAAACCTACACAGACAATAACAGCAAGGGAAATTAAGCTAAAGAGCAGATGTAATGGTGAGCTCTAGTCCTGTACTATTGTGAACAATGCATAAGCCATGAGAGGGGAAAACGTACATTCTAATAAAGTCAACTCTCATTAAGAAAAAGACGGGACCTAGTGAAAATGTTTATTGTATACAAAATTTCCTGTATGCAGAGCGCATTGAACTTGCTTCCAGTCTGTCATTCACTACATGCACAAATCCTAAACTGTCATGTATGCATGGCTATGTATATGTGAACATGTGAGATGAATGGAAAATTTCAAGTATGCTCTTTTGGGTATGATTCATCAAATATAATGTGAATCTCTTATAATATTTGCATGACAAATTAAACAAAGACACCAAAACGGTTGATCGTAATTTATGGCTGAGGAAAAGTTGACATAGTGAAAATAAGAACACTGGTAAGAAATCTTTCCTACATAAATGTGTCACGGAGAGCTATTTTATCGTCCCTCTGTTTTGTAATGTTCAACGGAAGACCCCACTTATGGAATTCCACATCTGCCATAGTCCATTGCGAGTTGCCCATTGTGTATCATCCGTCCTGCGGTGTCCGAGTAAAGTTACGTCTAAAGTAACGGAATTATCAACTTAAAAAAACAATCTATCCTAATATAAATCTATTTAGTTAATTAATTTATTTATCAATCTAACTATGCATTTATTTATCTAACAGTATATGGTAACTATTTCCCATACAGGTTACCTTACCGATATCATTCTTTAAGAAAAGAAAAGATACTGCTTCTTCCAAGTGAAGTACGTGCAACTGGAGAATCGAATAAATTATCTTCTAGGCTAAATGAGTGTCAGGCATGGTGGATGAATCGAATAAGTATGTGAAAAGATCAAGGGTCAAAGTGAAAAATAGCACTGCGCAAGAGTGATAAAAAAAACAAGTGGCCGGCGACACATGATGGGTGATGCTTGACGGGCTATGCACGATGGATGACAGGCAACGGACGACACGCGATGCACGATGGATGAGGGACGGGCAACAGGTGTCTGATGATGACAAACGACATATGACATGGCATATATGGAACTGGAAAATTGCAGAATTAGGACACACCAAAACAGAAGAGGCAACGGACGATGGGTGACATGCGACAGACAACACACGATGGACGATGGCCGACAGGTAACAGCAGATATGGAGTTTCATACCCCAGTGAGTTTTCATTTGTGCACAAGGAGGTGTTAGGAATTTCAAATCATTATTGGACAACCATGAGTGCACAATCATCAATGCATCCAACCTTACATTTAACGCCCCATCAGAATTTAAGGTGGAAGCGCATTCAATAGTGTATTGTGGGTTGGGATTAATGGCCTGATTTCTTTGTAACTTTAAAAGTGGCATAAGCCCTTTATAAAATCGATCATTCTATGTTATATAATTTCCCTTTGACAAAGCCCACATGGCATGGATGACTGGAATGCATCACCGGGGTCACAGAAACCTTTCATTGTAACAGGATTTTTTCATTCCAACAGATTTTCTTGCCATAGAAATGTGCATATTTACAGGTTTTTTTTGACTGGAATTTTGCCCTAACCAAGTTTGCTGTAACGAGAGTCGATACCATCCCTTTAATAGTGTCTACTGTCCAGAGTTATCAGTTGTCAAGTCTGTGTAAAAAAACAAATCAACTGTGCACCATTTAAATTACAAGAAAATAAAAGATAAGTTGCTATCTTCTGTGAAAGCATTTTCGAAGCCTGGTATTCACCTTATGTGCAACAAGTCACTCCAGAGGAAAAAAGAATAACCCTATCATATTCCATCATAAGACCACACTGATACCCACTCAGTGTTAAATGTCCTGCCAATTTCTTTCTTTTTTTTGACAATATCTGGAAATCAACAACTGTTTAAAATGAGAAGAGGCACGTTTGATTTTGTAAATCTCAATCGATGGCATCCTGCACTCACAACAAAGCCCAAGGTAAGATGCATCCCCAGAGAGGGTAAAGCTCAAGTCTTGTACATCACGTGTCAAAAACAGCTTTATATATCCTGCCATTTAATAAAAGGAAGTCTGGAAAACCTTAAGTCACCACAATGCCAGGTTTCTCTTGACTGCATTGTATCAAGACGTACCTGTTATCAAAAGTTGCTCATCATCAAGACTTACCAAGTATTAAGCCTTACCTAGTTCACATGGGAGTTCTTTTAGCTGATTTCCTTCAAGTAGGAGTGTCTTCAAACATCTAAATATCATTTTAAAAAAATATCAGTGTACACTAAATTAATTCCACCCTTTAACAAATATTTTTGAATGGACCCTGCTCTCCACATGTATCTAACAATATAATTATGTTAAATTCAACAGGCTCATCAAACCATCAAATCAAACAAATATTTTGGGTGTGGAATCTTGATTGAGCATTTTGTATTTTTAAACAAAATAACATGAACAGTGAATAGTTTTCACATTATTTCACATTTAACAGTATCCAGGAAAATACTTAGCAGCAATTACAACTCGGAATGTTGCCTGTCATTAATACTGTACGTCCACTCTTTATTCTCTCCAAAGAGAATGGTTGATCAAATATCCAAGTAAATACCTTGTTTACACCTCTGTTAAGAAAATTGAACTATGGGCAACTAACTGTGTATAAACAAATCATAAGTGTTCACACATCTTAATTCAGAAAATAAACTTTGATTATATTCCTTCTTGATGAATGGGCCAGCTTTTAATATAGCATCAAAATGGCATACACATACATGTAGGCATCAGCCTGCAAATGAGGAATTCTACATGTACAGTAATTGGATACCAACCTGTGCTCTCCAACTGAAGCTGGTAATTCCTGTACTTGGTTGTTCCTTAAATCCAACCACTTCATATTACAAAGTTTGTCAAACAACTCACTTGGTACATGGCTAATGGCATTGCCCTCCAGGTAGACATACTAATGTAAGACAAAAAACACATTATTGGGCAAAGTTATAGTGAAAGTACCTGTGGAGCAATTCTCAAGTATGACTACACTCAAATGACAGTGAGGAAAAATGGATGTGGCCAGCAATGAATTGTCAATGTGCATGCACATGACACTTAGATTAGCCAATTACCTTGACTCACTAGCTTTGCTTGATATAATAGGTTTACTGAAATATTACATTGCTAAATGACAGGTTATCAAATTTAAAAAAATTCCAACAGTGGTTGCCAATATCTTGAACCAAAATGAACAAGTGCACTTTCAACATTCAAGGAGGAAACATGGGTAATTCCATTTACTTGTGACAAAAAGTGTCTGTGGACAAGTGGGTTTACTTTCTTCAGGATGTTCCCCCCCCAAAAAAAAGCAACAAAAGTATTATTTAATTTCTTCCAAAATAATTGCTGGAAATTGTTTTTGGTAACAAATCAAAGCAGAGAATCCTTTTAAACCTGAAGACTGTATTTAAACCACATGTGTTGTGGAGATAATTTTGACTACATAAGGCCAAAAGAATTCTTTGGTTTCTGGTACAAGGGCTTGCTCCAAAAGTGGTGTGGCAATGCGCCACTATTTACTGTTTACCATTATCAGCTTACAGATGTACACAGGACATAAGACCACCTCATTTGTCTGGGTCCCAGTATAATAAAGAAATGGCGTCATCTGAAAAAGAGTGCCCAACTGAATGTATGAGGGCCTAGAGGGACTCCTTTACTGCAAATATTACTCAACCATACCCCATGTAAAACACGTTGAAATTAACCAGTAGCAGGATTCCATAGGATTAAGCAAGTTTGGCAGCTTCAGACATCATATTTATACCAAATAAAAACTTGTTTATCTTGCTGACACGCAGGTCTATGGCAATACACACGCCGTCCAGAAACCAGAGCCTTTTCTCCTTTGGCCTAAGAAAACTGCTTTTTGTTCTGTCAATGGGATTTACCACAGCAATTACAATGCTATGTTTAAGCCTTTGAAACTTTTTGACAAATATAAAGATGATTGGAAAGGCTCACAGAACAAGGATGAAGTGAGCAGGGTACTGCTATACACGACTGTTAAAACCTCTTTTATTTTTCATTCGTATGTACCTGAGACAGTTTAGAATAAATATGTGCATGACTAGTCATAAATGTCATGGCTCCGGAGAATGCGACTTAAGCCCACACCTGCGGCTCGGGCATTAGTCGCATCAATTCTATCTCTAGAACTGGTCTTAAATGAACATTTACGACTGGCCAATGCCTTAAGGACATATTCATTCCCTTATCATCAAACAGGCACCAGAAAGGGTTCATACGTGGCAAATGTTAAGAATATACAGGGGTAAACGGCAGAAGTACTACTGAACCTGTTTCTCTGAAACAGACTCCTTATAGTAAACTCTACAACTACAAAATTAAAAAAACAGTCACTGCATTATGAAATTCGAATCGGTTTCATCAAGTTTCATTACATTTGAGACAAAAAGTTCCAAAGTTCCAAGTTCCAAAAGTAAACAGTTGAAGCTGCTTACTTAAAATTTAGGATTTTAATTAATATCAGTAATTGTTAACACTTGCAAGATGAAACTGCATTGATTTCCTTTGAAATAACGAAGAATGAGTTGTTTTACATAATATCTCTGTTACACAACATGAGCTTCAAATTAAATTATCAGCATATATCATGTATGTAGAAAATAATATAAGCTTTAATTTGATACCAAAAACAACAATTTATTTTGGGAGAAAATAATTGTCAATTTGGAGTTGTATGTTTTTGGTCACTGTATTTCTTTTTATGCTTGTTTTATCATCTTCGTACATTTAAAATGATTGACAAAAAGGGGCCATGGGTATTTTTAAACAGGAACTCAGTTTTCAAAAATGCAACACTACCTAAAACAGTTGGCATTTCATAGGAGTTAAAGCCCAACTGAAAAGTCACATTCTCTACTGCAAAGGTATACTGTTAAACTTTCCAAGAAATGGGAGACTTTAGGGTACTCTTGCTGGCAGCAAATGCAATTGATGCATGCATATCTTAAACATGACAAAAACCATGTGTCTCAAACGTCTCCTAGCATGAAGGCAATACTCTGCAGAAATTCCCTATATGTTATGTCCATTTTACCTCCACATGTTGTAGAAGGTAGATTTCATTTGGTATGTGTGTTAGGCCTTTCCTGCTGATGTCAAGTGTAATTGCTCCTAATGCACTGGCTACAGCTATCACATTCAGAACATCCTCCCGTGTTGCAGCTGCTGTCACTGATGAAGAGTCCTCCGAGTCATCTCCTGCCATTGTGAAGTTACCACATTACCTGGTGAGGTAGAAATGTAAACCATTTACTGCAATGTTATATCACTACCTTGGGTTGCACTATTTATATGTACCAGTACTAACAAATGTCACTTACCACTGATATTAAAGCAGATACTTGATCAATTTTAAAGATTTTGTGAAATGAGAACTAGGATTTTCCATGATGAGCTGTACATGTTTACTGCATTTCCCCATGACACATGTATCTTGTGAAGGCTTCAACCTTATTCATATACCCCACTAAAAATACATTGCACATACATCACTCACTGATTCAATTTATCAGGTTTCACCCCCAAAATATGGACACAATGTCAAAGGAACAAGCTGGATAACGGGATAGAGACAATGGAAATCTACTTCACTGAACTTATATACATGTAATGTACAGTCTCATTAAGGGTCCCATGCGGGCATTGCACTGCTCTACTAGTGCCAGCAGTCTGGTTTTATGACAAGTCGTCATATAAGTTTAAGGGAACTCAGAAAGGTCAGATTCTCCTGTTCTCTGAACTAGACATTGACTGATGGGTGGCCTATAACAAGGTGTTGTGTTAGCAGGAATTTCTGACCACTTACATGTAACTTTCTCCCAACTTACATATCAGGGGCCTAAATTTATACCTTGCATATTAAAGTGCGGAGCCATGGCATAATACATGTATACAGGTACATGTAGGGGAAGTCCAAACTGTGGATGGTTTGACCATGTTGGAACCAGGTTCTATAGGTGTGGTTGTAGGGGTTGAAATTAACGGTGGTCGGCTGGCCCGGGGGCCACTGAAACATTCATCAGACCACAGCATTTTCCAAAAACAATGGCCCAGCAAGACAGTGGTCATTTGAGGAAAATTGCCACAATTTCAAAACTTTCATCACATTTTATGACTCGTATAATTTCAGTCTGCATGGCCATGTTTGCCTGCTACACCAGGCTCGTGTGCCACATACACACATAGCGCACAGCACGACATTCTGTTCACTGCACGGTCAAGCATACAGCTCATACACGTCAGAACAACCCAAGTACTGATATGTTGGCTGGTATGATTTTCTAACAATGCCAATTTAATGTTATCCCCGGACACCAATGAAACCTTACAGGTCGTGTTGTGTTGAGTCCGCATCGGGCCGATCATCAAGTACAAGCAATATAACCTTGAATTAAATTTGTGAATACAAAAAATTATATACAATAAATCAAGTTCTGGGAGTTAACTTGTAGAAATCTTTCTGCAACATTTTTTTAATGTGCAGCTGTAGAGTTGCATGTGTGTATAGTGAATTGTACAACACTATTTTGACCAGGATGCATGGACTGGTAGCCACGTTATCATCATGCCTTCTTTAGAAGTGGGGCGCTGCAGCGGGAACCAGTGTATATTGCATACATGTTTTCACCACCACGATAGTGAAATACGGAGGGAATTTGTGAAAAAAACACAGGACCTTTCTTTCCGTATGTTAGCAGACAAACAAAAAATACAAGCTTTTAGATATGAAAAAAATGTTGAGAGGTGTTTTGTGAAGACGGCATTTTTTTCCCCTTTTTAAAAACTTTTTAATATGTTTTTCTAACTTACCGATATAAACTTTGGCCTCAAAAAATGCATTTAAATCCAGCCGGAGTGGCCCATCAGCTGTTTTGGGACAGAAGTTTGACTGACTCAAATGGTCCTGTGTGGTGGATCCGATCAATTTCATCACTAAACCCAGGCCAAATTGTCACAAGGGCAAATGTGGTGCACTTTCCACTGGCCCTGCTGGCCACCAAGAGATTGAAAAACTAATTTCGACCCCTGTGGTTGTATGTAATGCTCATTATCAGTAGCCTGTTTGGTCACTAGACTTAAGTACAGGGTAAAACACTGACTGAGAACAACTCAACCAGATGACACAGACTGTAAATGCAGGGACAGTAGCAACCAACAGCAACATGTGAGTAATGGGATTTCCTAACAGTGGTAGTTCAAGTGGGATGGTATTGCCTGTGTACAGTGGTAATAGGCAAGCGACCAGTGGATGAACTGCATATGCACGTACATGTAGTCATTGCTCAAACCTACATGTACATGAGAATACAAACGTTTTTAACTTTGTGCCCTCAAAAACAAGTGACTAATTAATTAATACATAAACCATACTTGAACTTGTACCAAGTACATGTCCATGCCCTACAGGCAGAGAGTGGACTACGAGACTACCCTTCAAACTAGCTACATGTACATGTAAGAGTACCAACAGACGTCAGGAGTGCAGACAGAGGTGTTTCAGGGTATTACACTAACATACTCATCCATTGACCAACTCAAATCCAACTTTCCAACAGAATGTTCAAGAAAACAACTTAAAAATTAGACAACTCAACCTTTGGTCCAATCAGCTGGAGAGCCAAGTCAAGAAAAGAAACGTTTTCTGTTCAGTCAAGTCTCCTGTTCAGACAAGTCATCCACTCTACATGTATTTGCTGAGCTTAAAGACTACAGTTCCTGAACTTACAGACCATATACAGGCAAATGTATGCACAACTTAATAGAATCATGACAATGACACAAGTATAAAGCTGGCCAGTACAAAAAGTCACGCACCTCAGAGTAAAACTGAACAGGAATATCATTGAATTGCATTCAAAATTTCCATTCTGGCAAGGCAGATTGTACACTAAAACCACTGAAATTGTTTTAAATAAGTCTTGAATACTGTGAAAACAAAGGTCTGTTTTCACTTGTAGGTTGGTAGAATTCTTGGTTAATCCACTGGCATTGAACTGTGAATAATCCAGAATTGTGATCCAAAGCTTTAACAATCCAGAACTGTTGCACTCATTGTAACCGTGTAACCCAAAGCTAGGTCGAGTTGGTCCTGTCTTCTTGTACAAGTTGAGTTATTTGATTGGTCAACTTGTCTCAGTGGTTGAGTAGTCTTAACAATAAAGAGATGGACAATGTGTCTGCCAATGTCTGGACTCTAGAGTCAAGTTTGTCAACAGACAACTTGTCTCGTATCTCACATTATTTCCAGGGCCTGATGATCTCCAAAGTAGTTTAGTCCCCGAATATGGGGAACTTTGAGGTTTCCTTGACTTTTCTTATGCAGTGTTGCCAAACCTCTTTGTTGAAAAATTAAAAGTTCATTTACTAGTACTACATGTATAATGCTACTATACATGTACTGGTACATGTATGTACATGGTACACGCTGTTCAAATTTTGTGAACAATGTTATTATCATGAAATTTTGGCCCCCAGTTCAAACTTCAAAAACTGTAGGGTCCAAAAAACTGGGCACAAATTCTGCTGAGGGTTTCCTAATGTACGACATGGTGCACTTAAACTACATGTACATGTAATCTCCAAAGATCCACACATTAACATATTAAAGAGTTTCTTCAAAGTTGATGCCACTTTATCATCAGTATCTCCATTCACATATCTAACTTCAAGCTCATAAGAAACTTATTTTCATTTTGGGCACATTTTTATACGTACCTGTATGTAGAGTTCATTTTGCAGGTAAAAAAACCAAATCGAAAAAATCAGGACAAAACAAAATCTCATTGGAACTTTGTAGCCAATAAAGCGGGTACAAAAACTTAGGATTTTTGAATGGGAATATTGAGAGTTTGATGAAATTTCATTTATTTTGAAATGTATAAAAATATTGCTCTAGTTTAATGCACTAGAGGCAAGATGCATGTTCGAAGTCCATATGGAGATTCTTTGGGACATCTTGAAAAAGGAAAATACCATAAAGTGGACAGAGTTGTTTAGGAAAATGAAACTAAAATTCTTGAACAAAATCGTTGGAAATCTATCACATATTGACTCTTTTGACTCTGAAAAACTTATATGAATATATATGTGCTTGGCCAGTTTAAGACTGGCTCAGGAGACATTTAAGACTGGCCTAACACATTTATTCCCTTAATCAAACATTACGACTTTATTTAATTGTAACAATAAAAATCCTAAGAACGGATTTATAAAACCAAAGCTGGTTGAAGTTCATTATTTTTCTGAATTTTCTTGCATTCAAACTGAATAACTTGATGTGGTTACCAAATGTCAAATCTTATTCTTTCGTGTTTGTATTTGCTACTTTCAACTAATCATTTGCATTAAGAACATAATCAAAATAAGATAAAAAGCACTTTGAGTCCCAAGCTATTTTTGCCATACACTCCCAGAAATACATGTACACCAAAGTTGCACACATCGTGCACGCACTCGTAGTCATAGTCTGATAGTGCACCACATCTACAATGTAAATGTCCCAAAACTGCAATTATTAATTAAGCCTTCACATGTCTCCTTAAACAAGTACAGGGATCTGCCGCTGCCGGTCGGCGCCGGTCGAGCCCGACCGGCACGCAGAATTGCCAACCGCCACAAT